GGGTAGAGATCCGGCACATCATGACGCTACGCTCACTACACAAAAAGTAGGTGATGAACACAAAACGAGAAAATCGAAAAAGATGATAACCTTGAAACGGCAAGACGGGAATGACGAGACGAGGGCAAGATGGGAATGGAGTTGCGAAATTACAAAGAAAATGAGAGAAAAATGCCGGCATGGAACTGTCGGGAGGACTTGAGAGTTTCCGTCATTGTATCGCACAACGAGGAGCATAATTGACGCGATACACGTTCAAACCCCAGGTTGAATGGGTCAATGTCCTCCAGCACAGACAGAGCTTTTCACAGAGTCGGGCATAACGGGGCTCACCGCACGAAGGTAAAGGATATTGCACGGACCTGCATATGATATGCAGCAACCTTGGTGACAAAATGTGCGCGGTTTGAACTATGGTATAGTTGGAATCGCGCATAGTCACTATGTGTTACCTGGCTGGTTTCCGGTTCGCTCGATAAAGCCGAAGCCTTTCACTCCCCAAGACTCCCCCCAGGTGTTCATGATTTTCCAATACCTACGACACAAATTAACCAGCAGGAATTACACTGCTACATTGCGCTCACGGCGTTCCTTTTGAAGAAGTGCCATACCCAACGATGATCACGTTATGGTTTGGATCCAACGCCTTACAGTCCTTGGCTACAAGGTTGGGCAGAGATATGCTCGACAACATCGAGTACGCTCCCACCTGTTATGATGCCTTCCTGGTAATGTATGAATGCGGGATCCGAAGCATATATTTTGGCCGCCACGGGCCCTTTTGCTACATTCCTTATCATAGCTGCTTCATCAGCTGCCGGTATGGTCACTGCTTGATGGAATTGCCTAGGCTGAGAAAAATCAGAAAGGCTCGAACGGTTGAGGTCAAACCACATCTGCTAGATTGCTCGACTTCATCACTTCGATTCTTTTTTGCGCCCTTTGGACGGAGTCTCTCCAGGCGATATCTCCTCGACGAAGAGCATTAATAGTAATACATTCATGTGGGCCACATGAATCGATCACTGATGTGGCACAGGAGCTTGCATTGCATGAAAACCTCAGATGTTCGCTCGAGACAGTTGCCTCACTTTCAGACACTGCTGCTTCGCATCAGTGGTGATTGATGTCTTGCACGATCCAAACTTAGCCTCATAAGGGTAGCTGGCATCTTTAACGATACCCTCGTCCATGACATATTTATATGATTGCCTCACTGAACCTCCAGTGCAACCTCTGAAGTATACTGAGTCGTAATGACTATGAGAACACGTACAAGATGGATTCCTTATCGAGGACCCACGCTCAGGCAAAAGTATCGTCGTCGACTCACATATTGCCATATGGCCGACTACTGTCGACTATCTGTTGAGCTGAAAATGGGACGACTTCTGGGAATCCCGGCCTGTATCT